TGGTGCACAGAATGTATCCCCTTGACTGGCCAGCCTGTAGTCTGTATCTGTGGGTATTGAAAATGCCAGGCATGAAATGAGGGAAGACGATAGCGACCAGGGAATGTTGTGTAGCTCAAGTCTATTTTAGCTACTCAACGGATTAGACGAGAGAAAAAAATGTAATCAAAACAGTAATTGGTATCCACACAAAGAATAGAAAAACCTTCTCTCTTTTTTAAATCTGTTTATAACATGTTATAGATATTATTTAAATATATTTATGTTTAAAAAACAATCTAAAGTTTGTTTTTAATTTTCCTTTCTCTGTGGAGTTCGTTTTTGAAAAAGTGATACTATGGATTATTTTGTGTGTGTATTTTCCAAGCCTTTTCACAGTGAGATGTTCTCTTGATGGCCATGTAGGAGGGCAAAAAACTGAGGAGAAAATCTTTTCTTTTTTGTTCCTTGTGTACGTCTGGAGCCACTTCCCACACTGCACACTTCCATCACCTCCCCCTCTCTATCTTATTGTGCTGGCAAATTAAAATTCATGGGTTGCCAAGCCAGTTATTCTCCCTCCACTGTTTAATTGTCTCGAAAATTGAGGAGATTACTGAGCGCGATTTATGTACAAATAAGAGTCTGTCAAAAAACCTGACAGTCGGGAGCATGACGTGTGGACATAATCACATCACAGCCATGGCCAGAATTAGAGACCTCAAACCATAGCACTTATCAGTTATTAATGCCTACAACACGCTCTCATGCAAACGTGAATGTAAAAAGAAAAACTCAGTGATAGAATTCAAATTCACACATAAGATACTCAATCAGCAGTGATTTATTATGTTGTTCACAGGGTTAATTTAACTAAGTCTTTGTTAAATGTCTTTTGACTAAATTGTAATTTAAATCTTTGTGGGATTTAATGGTGCATATATATATATATATATATATATATTCTCCTAATCTGGTACTATTTGGGGGAATATCAACATTTAAAAGTGGTTGCAACTCTGTACCAACATAGAGAGGACAATTAAAAAAAAATCCATCTTGTTTGTATAAGTTGAATAATGCATTATCATGCTTAGCGTTTTGTCATCCTCATTGAATCTGTGGGTTTGAACTCCCTTCAGTTTTGTTTATTTTCTGTATTAGAAACCATAATTGTTGAATAAGTCTCTGATGAAAAGTATCAGTTGGTGTAATTAAAATTGGTTTTCAGTACAGTTTGGTCAGGAGATCAAAGTTTTTCAAATATTTATTTCCACCATTCAGTCTCCACTAATCATCCAAACAGATGTGCTGAGACATCTCCATGTAAGTTGCATTTGGCTGTGTGTGTACGTGCACACATGAGCAGGTGTGTGATGCATGCTCACATTCCCTCCCCTGAGAGGAAGCCAAATTAGGCAGTGTGATTATAGCCTTACAAATGTAATCTCATCTCTTAGAGTGTTGCCACTTGGCCCCATGTATCTCCCCTCCCTCCCAGCTCCTCCGCCTCCTTTCACACTTCCATTTACCCAACCCATTCCAGCTAAATCCAATTTATGGTTTCTAATAATTTGTCCCTTTTGCCACTTTAGTCAGAGGGATTCCTCAGTGATGTCCGAGTCTGTAATGCCTACAAACAGCAGTAACCTTTTGTGAGAGCGTAGAACTGCACAGAAACGATCTTGGGTTGTTGGTAGATTCTGTAACTCTGACCTTTTTACTTACTTATGAGCTGAAGCAAATTGGAAAATTAGTTGTATAGCTGAATAAACTTTCTTTGGAGTTACAGCACATCGGACCTCTCTGACCTCCTATCACATGTAAATGATGCCAAGACATTTTTTTGACATTCTCCAGTTTTATTGTCTTCCTTTTTTAAATATTTTGTTTGATAAAAAATAAGGGGGAGGCAATAAGGGACTATATACAGTATATATAACATAAATTCAAATATGTAATTTAGCTGAGATTCTGCTGAGATAAATTGCAATAACTTGTGCGGTTAAATAAATTAAAATATATAATAATTATTATATAATATATATAATAACTTGGCTCAATATTTCACTGGCTAACCCTTCAGGTTTATGGGAAATACAGTAATAACAAATAAGTATTGGCAAGTGTTGTGTCCCAAACAGACCATGTTACCGCCTTCATCTCACCTGTTTTTTAATGCTTGCTGTTTTTGACCATGTGAAAGCAGTCCATGCTGTCATTGGTCGATGTAGCCAATGAAAACTCTGTTGTGACCTTTGTTGTCATTTGTTTAAACAACACATTCATGACCATCACATGACATATTTTCTGAGATAAACCTCTACATCTGTTGGACTGTTGGCTGTAATCCAACCATCAACACGTAGTCTGACCTCCTCAGAAAACACTGTCAGTGAGAGATGTCTCTGCTTCTCAACTAATCATCATTAATATAAGGAGGGGCAGAAAAAACTACGAGTGTGGGTTGACTCATAGTAGTTCAGTAAATGTATTGTCTGAAATGCATTACCCCGACACTCCGCTCTTCTGTGGTTTTGGTTTTTAATTGAAATCCTGCCCCTGGCTTAATGCAGCTGTTACTGCATCACCAAGCATTTAGCAATAACAAGAGCCTTTTCTCCAGTCTGGTTGTTGATTGATGAGAATTATAGCCATGAAAATCACAATGTGGTGTGATAATGATGATGACATGAGTAATTATGAAAAATTCTAATGGGGTCTTGGTGGTGGTAGTGATAATCAGGATGATGATGATGAAGACAGATGGTAATGGCTGAACAGGAGTCACACTCGCATGCTTGAATTAGTGGAGGTTACTGCCTAACATCGCATGCACGGGACTGCATTGTATGTAAACGACCTCAGTGTAAAATGATGTGTGTGTCTGTGTGCTCATGTGTTTCAGGGGATGATGTATCTGGAGGAGCGCAGGCTGGTCCACAGGGATCTCGCCGCCCGAAACGTCCTGGTCAAATCACCCAACCACATCAAAATCACTGACTTTGGCCTGGCGCGCCTGCTGGATGTTAATGAGAAGGAGTATAATGCTGATGGAGGGAAGGTACGTCAGGCATTTGTACTGTAGGACGAGGAAATACGGGAGTTTAAATTTCCGTAACCTTTCCCAGTTTTCCTTCACACAAGATTCCGACATGTTACGTACTGCACTTAAATCGAATGGAACACGTGTCTAATCATGTTAATCTACAGTGAAAACAGATTGCTTCTCACAGCCTAAGCACGTGCATAAGACAAGGACATTGTTTTATGAAGGTCACAGTCATGCACAACCATTTTTATACAAACAAGGCAGTCAGGTGGATTATGCTGAAGTTGAAGGACATAAACAAATAAGAGCAACGTTTTTAGTATCTGTGTCCAAGCTACAGTACTTCCATCAGATGGATTGTAAAAGGGTTGTTGAACAGCTTAAAGTTCTTCTTTAACAAACTTGACTTGGTGATATATGTTATAAACCACACACACACAACCCTAATTATTTTAGCTTAAACAGCCCAGGATTTTGAAGTTTCCTTCCCTTTGTTCAGTCATACTGCTCACAGGCAAAACCATGTCCTCCGTGCCAGACATAAAAACCAATAATGTTTGTACCCAGCCATCCTCACAATACGCTGTGCAAAACTGTGGCAATTAGATTGAGCCCCCGGAATGAGGTGCTGAATAATGGAGCATCCACACCGAACGCAGAGCAATTTTTCACATCGCTTTACTTACACCACTGAGGTTGCTGGAATATTTGTGTTTTCTCGCAGTAGTGCTGGGAGAGTTGTAAGTAAACACAAAACTGCAATTACATGCTAAGGGCTAATGCTTATTTTAGGAATGTTTGCGGTGGGGCACCCAGCGGAATATATGAGTATGTTTTGAAAGGCAAATGCTTGTATTTGTGTGTGTTGTTAATGTGATAACTATTGATCTTTCTAAAGGATTTGCAGTCAGTGTGTCGGCATTCGCTTGTAGCAGCTTATGTTAAGCTAATTGTAGCATCAGTACGAAAAAAGAAAAGATTAATGGAATAGTAAAATTGAAAGTAGCTCAAACATGGCTACCATATAGTACACAAAAACAGCCACATTAGCCGTTGTCAGACCTCATCTATCTAGGTGAAGTACTGATTACTATCATTATAACGCTACATATCTGTCAGTAAAGGTTTTGCACTAGTTTTTCGGTAGTAAACAAGTGACATTATGGCCGTGTTGTCTCTATTGAACTGTGCTGTACTGATATATTATGTGAGTCAAGTCCTGCAGCCATTGACCTTGGCGTATGCTCCACAATCTGCTTTTAATATTCACTTTTGGCTCCTTTGTGACACACAGTATTTTTGAGTTACTGTTTTGGATTTTATCATCAACAAGTCGTAACCACAGCTGACAACAACAACAACAGCAAGCGTCACCCAGTGACATCCATCTGGATTTAATATTTTAAGAGTATAATAAAGGACACCACCAAAAAGTAGTAACTGAGCTTAGTGTAATTTATATAAATTCCACCACTTATTTACAATTAGGTTTAATTTTTGGTTGCTTTTACAAAAATAAATTAAAGAATAAATGTTTTAAATGTTCATTTTTTATGACTCTCAAAGGTTAGTGAAATGTCATTTTTTAATGACAAAAAGACTTTTAGGACAATTTTAGACAAGTTTTATGATTATGTCTTTTATAAGTCTGTGTTCTTTTTGATTGGGGTTTTAACTCTCAAAAAGTAACTGAGCTAATATCTAAAATTAAACCTTGCAAAACGTTTTGATCCGGCTCCATTGGTTTTTTTTTTCCCCTAAAACTTAAACAAATAAAAGGAATTTGATTTCAGTCCTTGGTTCAGGCAAAGAAGTAGGCAATGACTTGAGAAAACCATTGCCCAGAATTCTATAAACTCCAATGGGAACACAGTTTTGCAAGAGTTTACATTCATTTAAATATGTTTAAAAATACCTAAATTGTTCAATCACCTCAATTTTTTTGCAGATGCCAATCAAGTGGATGGCCTTGGAGTGTATCCATTACAGGAAGTTTACCCATCAGAGTGACGTTTGGAGTTATGGTGAGCTAATTTTTTTCAGGGATAAAACCAAGTGCAGTTGACTAGTGTATTATCATTCTGTATGGGTAACAGACTTGTTAATTATCTAAAACAGAGTGTTTGGTACATAAACTAAATAGGAATAAAAAGAACCCATTGAGTTCATCAATTGTATTTACTTCTTAGGCGGGTTTTCCAAAGAAAAATGCAAACTCTAGGTGAACCAAATGTTCCCTCAACTTAATGAGGGTGAGATAAGAGAGTGAAGGCAATGATACGGAAAAAAGGACATTAGTTTGTTGTGTTTGGTTTGCCAATAGAGCTTGGAAGAGCCTGGGGCTAAGACAAAGGTTTCTGTCTTCTAAGAACTAAGAGTTAAAAATATCACAGTATATACTGTATGTGTAAGTACTATACACCAACATTATGAACATAATTAAGTACTGGCACAGCTTGACATTTCAGGAGTTTGATTGCCTCCATACCAAAAGCGTAAGTGCGTGTATCACCAGTGTCACACATACCATAGTTTGAGAACCACGTGTGATTTTCAACGGCCTGAGTGTCTTATATGAGTTGCAGTTTGCTATTCTCTGCAGCTCTGATTAATTGAATTACTCGTTTCAGTGTGCTCAGTAAGAGCGCCCCCTATATGTAAAACTGCTATTTTTTGCCTTTATACTCTTACTCTTTTCCACAACTTTCATGGGTATGTCTCAAAAACACACATTCCTTTTTAAGGTTCTCACTGACTTTAAACTCTGTTAATCAAAAATGGACATGATGAGTTCTATCAAAGAGAATACCGAGCGTTTGATTAAAAGTGTCAGTGCAGTTTAGGGCATCCGAGTCCCCTGTGGTTCCCTATCACCCGGAGCTAATATACTTCCATCGAATGGTGTGCATTTATTCCGCCTGCCATTCATTAGCTCATTAACACTAACACAATTAAGGCTGAAGAGTGTTGAAAGTTAGGCCTGGCTGATGACTTTGAAGACTCTGATTAGTTTCTCTCTTGTCCTCTGCTGAGTCATGTGTCTTTTGTCTCACTCTCTTCAACTTTGTCTTGGTGCTTCTCTTCCTTCTTTCTTCACCTATTTCTTTATTTGTCATTAGTTTTGTTAAATCTATTGAGTTTTCGGCCCTCTTATCTAGGTGTCATAAATCCGTGTGTTCACTAATTTCTTTGCTGAAAATCTATCCATTTTACTTTTTACATCTATCCACTACCATCATGTTGATACTGACATCTAATCTACTTTTCCTGCACCTGCTGATCCTCATTTGGTTGTTAATTCAAACCTTGTCTTCTGCAAAACAGTTTGCTTGCTCATCTTGTTATCATCGATTATATACTGATGAAAATATCCATTTAAATTATATTACAAATCTTTAAACCCTGCAATGCTCTAGTTATTAGTTATCAGTATATCATATATCAGTATATGTTTTTCCAGGAGTTACCATCTGGGAGCTGATGACCTTTGGTGGGAAGCCGTATGATGGGATTTCTACCAGAGACATACCAGACCTGCTGGAGAAAGGAGAACGTCTCCCACAGCCACCCACCTGCACCATCGATGTCTACATGGTCATGGTTAAATGTAGGTAGAGCTCCATGAACGGGAAAGAAATAATTAATACATGTAATGAATTAATCATCGATCCACCTATCACACGAACCCAGAGTCTTTTGAAAGTTGCAGAGAGGGTCGAAGGTGAATGCAGCTGATAAAACAGCCGGTGGGTTGTATGGTACATAATAAACAGCCCTTAAAAAACCACTATAGTTTTTATAAAATATAACTGCTGTAAAAGGCTAATGACTGTAAGAGGAAATGGATATGGAAAAACATTTTTCTCTGAAAGATGAAATATAGAAACTCTTTAAGCAAGGAAATTGTAATATCAAAAAAACAACATAAAACTAAAACAAAACTTGTCCTTAAAAGTGTATAGTCTATACTGTAGCTGTTTGGACCACCAGCATGGTGCCTTTTAGTTTAATTAATGTTGTGACAATGTCAGATGTTGGAGTTCCAGGTGATGTTCAAACCTCCAGCCCTTTCTGCAGGAAAAAGGATTAGATGCCAGTGCTACAGTGGCTCGGCCTCTGCTCTCTGATCTAAGGCCGAACGCCCTGACTTCCTGAACCTGTGCCAACCTGGCAAGAACCCAAACAGCAGAGAGAGGTCATTCATACTGGCCTATTACCTCCCTTTACAGTAGAGCTCTACAAACTGAATTCACAAGCAGCGCCTACAGTGTTACTATGTTCTTATTCAGTACACAACGGTATTTGTCGTCAAGTGCCAAGATAAAAGAAGATAATTATACACAGACAATCTCTTGTATCTGTATGTGTACAGTGTAGCAGTGTGTAAAGCTAATTCTCTATTTGGAGCTCTGTCTCATTTCCCCGGACGCCTCAACAGGCGTTACTCAGGCCAGATCACATGATTGTTTTGGCGCTGCAGCAATTTGCACATGGAAAATTTGGCAGAAGAGCACATTCCTCCATATGGCCTTTCAAATGATGAAACAGTGTTTATCTTTAGACTGGAAAGAAGCGATTACAGGAACGGGAATAACATTAAGAACACAGCAATTGTTCATTACGTACCAAAATACCTGTAATTTACACTGAAATGAGTTGGTTCAAATCAAAAGTCTTCTGGGTTTTTAACAACGAAAACATTGTTCTGTGCATTGACGTTTGGTTTGGTTTGTTCGGATGTTATTTTAAGCTTGAGTTGCTTCAGTTTGTGCAAAAAGCAACATGTGAATATGACTGTGGGTTGAAAGGACGATATTTGGTTTGATGGTGGAATTACGTTGGATATCATTCTGCCCATGCATTGAAATATATCAAAATTTTAATTTGATTAATTTCCCAAATGAATGTATGCATTAATTTTGAAAACAATTTATACAAACAAGATTCATTTATTTAAAAATCACTAGTAAAGTGTGTGGATATCAAGTGATTCAAGTTGGGGATGATTAGTACTTTATTGAATATAAAAATTACAAAATTATTTATTGTCTAAAGAATACGTTACTAACCTACTCTCTGCCTCATATTGATCCAACTCTGCCCTTCCTCACAGGCTGGATGATTGATGCAGACAGCAGACCAAAATTCAAGGAGCTGGCAGCAGAGTTCACTCGAATGGCACGTGATCCCCAAAGATACCTCGTCATTCAGGTAAGGAAACTGTGATAAAGTACTTTGCTGTAATACTCACCATCCTAGAAATAGTGCCATAAAATCCCAATGCCGTATTCTTCATAACTTTCCTTAGGGTGATGACCACACAAAACTGCCCAGCCCGAATGACAGCAAGTTTTTCCAGAGTCTTCTGGATGAGGAGGAGCTGGAGGACCTGATGGATGCTGAGGAATACCTGGTGCCACACGCTTTCAACATTCCACCACTGGCATACACTTCCCGCCAAGGCTTAGATTCTAACAAGGTAGGTCCAGTTTCGTTGTATTTTTGCATATATTGCTTGACATTTTATCATATTTATAATTAGGCATTTGGATGTTTCACAAAAAAAAAATCCAACTGCTGTTATTTTTCATTCTCTTCCTGCAAAATACAGAAAAGAACGTATTTGGTCATATTCATGAATGATTATTTATCTCGATTAATCATCGGGCTACACTGTAATTAATCAAATCCAGGATTTAATCTTTTTCTAAAGCTGGCATATTTGTCCAAAATCCTTCAGCTCCTCTAATGTTTATCATCTGCCTTTGGTTTTGAATCACAACATCAGCCTCACAGCCAGACGACTTTGCCATTTTTTATTCCACTATCCCCATGTGTTGGTGTCAGAAGAAAGAGTGCTGCATGCCAATGAGAGGAATGGCTGCTGTTGAAAATCTGTTTAGGACATTTCAAAAGGTTGAAAGATTATTTATTTTTGTAGCGTTTGAAAAATTATCATCCACTTTGGGGGCTGTCACCAAAACACAGCATATTTTGAATTTGTTTATCCAAAATATTGTCAGTGAACTGCTGCGTCTATGAGGCCGTTCCAGGAACGGTGGCTCAGTGGCTGTAGTTGCAGACCTTACTGTCACATCGACACAGCGAGGCCAATTGGCTCAATCTGTGCACGTTTCACAAAATGTGATACAGGATAATGATTAGAAAATGTAGATGAAGAAGAACAGAATTTATGACTTAGATAACCTTAGTGGTCCTCAATTGGTGGCTCGAGGTCCACAAGCAGGCAGCTGGTGGGCTAGATGAGCTGAACATGTAAATGCAGGCAGTTTTTGTTACCTTCACTGTGTGTGGTTTGTTTTGGTTAGCATGTGTAAATAGCCTGTCACCTCCATGCCACTGATAGGCTGATTGCCCATTAGCAAGAGCAGCACATTTTTTACTTTTTTTTTTACTTACTTCCAGACACGGTGTCAGCCGGAAGAGCCTGGGGCTTTTTTATTAGCTTTTGTTTTAATATTTCCTAATGTTTTCCTAATTATTTTCTCCTGTAGACATTTTGTTTCATATGATGAGGAATAACTGTGAAGCCGGTTAAATCAGTGAGACGTAGGATTTGACCCTGAACTCTACGTCCCTGACTAGAAGTAAAGAAACAAGGACTTTACTGCATGGAACCTTTTAATTAACCAGTCCTTGGGCGTCACATGGATTAGTACTGCTGTGCTGTGTGCGTCTTCCTGCCTGTCACTTTGAAATATTTGAGATAATTCAAAGACTAACTTTAGTCAGGTTTCATTTTTTTGTTAGGTAATACAAAAAAGTATACGTGATAAAATATACTTATAATTTACTTATAGAAGAAGCTGCTCTGTCATTGTGCTAGCTGAGAATTCTTTTAGCTTTGTCTGCTCACCGTTCTCCTTTCTTTCCAACTACCTAGAACCAGTTCAGCTACCAGGACACCAATTTCCGCAGGGAGGACATGCTGTCCACACTCCCTAGAGTTGTTCCGTCCACATCTGGAAGCTGCCTCAGTCCACAGGACCTACCCTTAGGGAGGCAACTTGGTGGTGGATTTGGCCGTGGTAACCCAGATGACCCTCGCTGCAACGGCACCCTGAGGAAGCAGGCCTCACCGAGACCAAACACCCTCACAGTCTGTTCAGTTCTCACTGCTTCACAAGGTAATTTAAAATTTTAATTAAGATATATTTATTGTTTTTTAGACATTTTATATTCTATAGAGTAATTGATAAATGTAGAGGCTGTTTCACTTCTGTCAGACTATGGGTTGCTGTTCTACTGTGATGTCAGATCAGTTTTGTAGAGGATTTGGAAGATAAGACATAACAGGGCGGGAACTAAAGTAAGGGTTTGAGGTTGGATTCTGGCTCTCAGGCCACACTGCGAGTTATTGCACTTAGTCACCTACACTAGTGGTCATGGACACAACAGATATTGTAATGATTAGACACAGGAAACACTTAGTTTAGCAATGGTGTCAGTTTATTTTTATTTTATTTTACAGCTTTTTTCTCTCTCTGTTCATATTTGACTAGAGAGAATGACATATTACACCAAGTCTGTCATCTTGAAATGTTGACCCTGTTATTTTTCTGTCACAGGTGGAGAGGAGGACAGCACTGGACAGCGCTACAGTGCAGATCCCACCGGTCTTTTAGGAGAACGGACAAAAGGAGAAAAGGAGCAGGACGGTTATCCAACAGCCCTGAGAGACAAAAACAACACAGGTTACTTTGACAGTTTTGAGAGTAACAGAGAACATATCATTTGGCACACACACACACATCTCTCTCTCTCTCTATATATACATATATATATAGAGAGAGAGATATTATATTTTTTTATATATAGATATATATGATAAATATATATATAAGTAGCTTCAGACATGTCAATTCCATAGTGTAGTGGTTAACACGCCTACCTGGGAAGCAGAGAGTTCTGGGTTCGAGTCCCACAGGAACCACATTCTTGGTGCCTGCCAGGGGCAGATTTTTATTAACACAAGTATTTCCCAAGTATGGGATTAATGAAGTTTAAATTATTATTATTAATATTATTGTTTGTGTATATGTATACACATATGTAGGAGTGTACTCCTACATATGTGTATACATATACAAACAACTAAATGTGTATCC